GAAGTTATCCAGCATTATTTGGTGCTGGCTAAATTGTGCTGAAAATTTTTTCCAGCACTGTTTATTAAAGAACCTATTTTTCTTCCAGTTAAGGTGTCTGCTGAGTGTGTTTGGAGTTGCTTCTACATCTTCTAATATATTCCATTGATCCTTGCGTCTGGTTCCCCCCTCCCCCCCTTTGGCCAGTACCACACTATTTTTATAACAGTAGCTTTGTAATATCATTTCAAATCAGGGGTTGTGATGCCCCTGCCTTGCTTTTGCTGCCTAGAATTTCTTTTGCTATTCTAGGTCTCTTTTGCTTCCAGATTAGTTTTAATGTTTTCTCTAGTTCTCTGATATATGTTATTAGTATATACTCTCAAGTGACACACACCAGACACTTACATGTAAATATTGCATTGTTCTCCAGTGTGAGAAACTGAAAATATAAATAAGGACCAAATTGTATAATAAATATTACAAAATAGGAAGATGATGTTCAAATGGGAAGGAGCACAAGGGAGGGGGAAAGGAAGAAAAGAATAAGAAAATTAGAAAAGGAAGATAAAATGGAAACTGCTTTTGTAAATAACGGGAAGAGAATGGGAATAAGAACTGGAGTATATCATGTTACAGGTATAAATTCTAAGTGTTGAATGTGATCATTATCTAAATTTAATAAACTAATAAATTTATTAATTAAAAATTATTTTGGAAACTCAAGCTCTCCTACCCTGAAAGGAAAATTTTGATTTCTTGTATCTTATCATAGAACCCAGTGACACGTTTAGTTCAAGCTGTGATCACTGTGTCGCACGTTTAGCTGCGTCATTTCCTTTTACTTCAGCATTCACATTAATGTAATATCAAAACAGGATTTAAATGTCAAAATTGAAGATCCTATCACCACAGTTTACTCCTCGGTCTCACACCTCCATTACCCATGACTGCTTGTAGTGATGGTAATAGAGGCTTTTAAAGGAGAGTAGGGCACTATAGAGGACGTGGGAGCTATAATGTTGTGATTGTTTGACTTACAGATAGAACTTTCAATTAGCACTTACAGTAGAATGATTCAACCCAAGTGTGAGTCAAAGGCTTGTGCTCCTTTAATTTTAATATGCTGCCTCCAACTTTTATTTTTCAGTTTTAAAAGTTGGAGACGAGTATAGTCTCAAGATTTTTCACTGTTAAAATAACTAGGCCATCAGCATTTTATCTTCGAAAAAAGTTTCAAATATTTTGTAGCTTTCCATCTGAATCTTCCTGTAATCCTTTATTTCCTAGGTAGCTTTTTTATGGAACTGGAGATTGGACCCAGAGCCATAAAAAAAAACCCATGTTGTTTTTTATGTTCCACAACATCTTGCTAAGTTGTTGTCTTCACCCCAGGATACTACTGCCTCAGCCTTCCAAGTAGCTGGGGTAGTGAGTGTGTGTACCGCAGTGTTCTTCCTATACCGAGCATCTCTCTCCACTGTCTTAATATTTGGTGGATACTGGTTATTCTTGCAAGGAGACTTCTAAGTTCTTTGAAGACAGAATTCTGCTGTTTTGTGGTTTTGTTTTGTTTTTTTCCAGTACTTTTTAGAAAAATAATAGCCAGTAAAAACTTATTGACTGAGCTATTTAAATAGCAACTTTTTAAAAATGCGTGTCTTTTTCTAAGCTTCTTTGGTCCTCTTCCCCCCACCCTTTTTTTTTTTTTGAATGTAAGATAGGTTTCTTTTATTAGTTTTTCCTAGACTTGTCTCCTGTTTGCTTAATGTTTTCCTCAGAGTAAGAATGTGACCTGGAGTTTTTTTTAACAAATCAACCTGGGTGAGGAACCTGGATAAACGCTGGCCCGAGCAGTCACCAGGTCCCACTCTCTGGCCTCCGCATCTGACTGGCCTTACAACCTGGCTACTCAGGGCAAGCAGATTATGTCACCTTATCCCCGGTTTTAACTTTAAATCTTTTTTTAAATGTATTTAGTACAGGGTCTACACAGGATCTCAATACGTAGACTGGACTTGTAATGCTTCTCCTGCTTTCAGCCTGCCAAGTGCTGGGATTGCAGGTGCACACCACCATGCCCAGCCTTTGGTCCTCTTCTCTTGATCATGCTGAGAACTTTTCTTGGGTTTTGTTCCTTGGCTGTCACCATTGTCCATTATCAGGACTACTAACCCAAATACTTTTTTATTTATTTGTGTATTTATTTATTTATTTATTTGGTACAGGGTCTTGCTACACAGTTTGGACTCCTAGTGATCCTTCTGTTTCAGCCTCCCCAGCACTTGGATTACAGGTGTGTGCCACCATGCCTGGTTTCTGTGGCCAGCATGGGATATCAGGGATCAAACCTGGGTCCTTGCGCTTGCAGGCAGGTGCCTAGACCGCTGAGCTATCTCTCCAGCCCCCAAATATTTTTCTAGGATCTGGTTAACAAATGAGTGAAGAGGTGAGTGACAGGAGGATATCAGGATTCTTGAAAATATTCCAGTTTTAGGCACAGCTCCAGCAGATGGTTACTGTTTCAGGATATAGTATCCAGTATGTACAGATTTTTTTTCTTTTCTTTTTTTTTGCGGAACCAGGGATTGAACTCAGGCCCTTGCGCTTGCCGGGGAAGCGCTTATTCCACTGAGCCATCTCCCCAGCCCCTTTACAGATCTTTTGACTTTCAAATGAAACAGAAATCTAGGCCTTTAAGTGTGAAATTTCTTCCATTTCTAATACAAGCATCAAGCTTCTGCTTAAAAATCTTTTAAGTGGCTCCCATTGTCTCTAGACTATAAGAATTTGTAACTTCTAATGTTCTTTTGATTTGGTTCTTATCCTTTGCCTCATCTATTGCAAGTTTATTAAGATGGTAGGGTGAACCTTTGGGATTGCTGTGCTCTTCGTTGCACGTTTCTTCTCAGACCGTCCCTCTTGTACTCTGTGCTGTGGCGCCACTGCAACTGCCTTGAATGTGTTTTGACTCCCACGCCACTCCTGCAGGTCGGGTTAGAGCCTTTTCCCTGCACCTCAGCCCTGGCGTTGTCTCCATCCCAGGGTCCTTCCCACTAAGCTTCTTGAAGACAAAAACCACATGTCTTGAATAATGTATTCAGGACTTTGGATGGTGTCTGGCAAACAATGAGTTCTCATATATTTTCGGAATAAATAATTTTTCCTGGAGAAATTATAGATATCAGAAGGTGCTTAGAACTTTAGTTATAGCTGCAAGGCCTTTTAAAATATCCTGATTCTTTTGTTTCCTTTGTTTGAAGAAGATTGTAGGTGTTTTTATAAATATGAATCATTAATATTTATGTTTTTAGTACAAAGTAAATTGTACTGTAGGTCTTATACACTATTGTTGCTTTCTAGGACTAAAGTTTCTTTTAAAAACTTAAATTTTGGGGCCGGGGAGATGGCTCAGTGCAATAAGCGCTTCCCTGGCAACCACAAGGGTCTGAGTTCAATCTCAGGTTCCGCCAAAAACAAACAAACAAAAAAACCCTTAAATTTATTTTTTAAAAAATTTTATTGTAGTCTCCTTAGGTTCATTTTTTTGGCTTTTTTTTTTGTTTTTTGTTTTTTGTTTTTTGTTTAGATGTTAGACACTCTTGGTCATTCCTTTGTCCCTCCCTGGTCTTTCAATGTCATGCTTTTGACACTCTCGGCCCGCCCGATTCTCTGTAATGGAGACTGTCATGTTTGGTGTCCTTGGACTTTCTCCACTGGATACCAGCAGCACCCTCCAGTTTAGGCAGTGAAAAATGTCTCCAGATAGAGCCAGGTGTCTGATGACCTAATAGGGAAAAACCTCCTCTGGTTGAAAACTGCTTGTTTGTAGATGGCCCATCTCTTCTTTTATCCTCAGAGGGTCTCTTTTGTTACCTTTCTGGTAGTAGTTTCAGTGGACTGTTTTGCTTTGTTTTCCCCCAATAAGTACTTATTTCCTCATAGGCTCATGCCTCTTTTCTCCCAATTTTGTAGAATGAATAGCTTCTACTTTATCACTTCTACTTTTCTTTCTGGTTTTAACTGTTGTGGCACAGCTAACCATGTTTTCATTAAGTCCCTCATCAACTTTTATTTACTGTGCACCTGGAGTGAGTAGTGCCACCACCTTGTTGACCAAGTCATCAGACCTTGTTTCTCTCTACCAGCACCTGTGTAGACACCCCACACAGTCAATTCAGAGCTTACATTTATTCTGGCTCATGACTGTCTGGTGCTGCTTCACTCTTACAACCTTATAGCTGTGACACATGAAGGCTCTTAGCCTCTTTGATGTTCTCTGAATTGAATTCTTTCTTGAACTGAATTTAGGACCTTGGTGCTTGCCAGCCAGGCGCTTGTGCCGCTGAGCGATAGCTCTAGTCTTTCTCTGAATTTAAAGTCCAGTGTTTTTACTTTATTTCTCGAACAAGGTCTTTTCCCATTTCAGACCTTCTCAAGCATGATTTCTAGTCTGAGCCTGTGTATCTTGAAAGGCTTATCAAGTGGTTTTTATAAAACTCTTAATTGCTTTATTCTCTTATTTCAGAAACCTTTCATTGCTTTTATGAACTCCTATAAGACCTAATAATATTTTTCCACAAAAATCTTTTGGAGTCCTTGTCTTTTAACGTTTCACCAAGTGGAAAATGCCAAGTACTTTATGAAAAGTTAGTGTTTACTTACTAATATATATATATATATATGTTATTATTATATTATATTATATTATATTATATTATATTATATTATATTATATTTATGGCTGGCTCAGTCTGCCTTAAGGGCAAGTCTGGAGCAGCAGGTGGTGCTGGGGATCAAACCGCGGTCCCCTGCGCCTGACTGTTTGTCCAAGCAGGTGCTTTAGACAACTGAGCTAAACCACAAGCCCCCCTTACTAATATATTTTTAATAATATTAGCTGTCAGGTTTATAATTGGAAGAGGTCTGACAAATAAATGTATTTTAACTTGTATTACATGTCACTGACAAATTTGATTGCTGAGTTCTAACATACTTACATAGCATTTCTTTTTTTGCAGGTATTTATAATAGCAGTGATGCAGCAGCCTCGTTTCCCAATGCAGTATCTGGTTCAGGATCCAGTACTCCTGTCTCCAGCTCACATTTACCTCCACAGCCTTCAGGGCATTTGCAGCAGGTGGGAGCTCTCTCCCCCTCAGCTGCGTCAGCTGTAACCCCTGCTGTGGCTTCAACTCAGGTATGTTATTAGAATCCTCTGACATGTAGACATGTTTGTCCTTTATTTTATATTTTATATTATTTTAACTTTTGAGCCAAGGTTTTGCTATGTAATTTAGGCTGGATTTGAACTCCGTGCAGTCCTACTGCTTCAGCCTCCCAAGTGCTGGGATTATGTATATGTGTCACCATGTCTGGCAGATTTGTCTTTCAAGTTTGGTTGAAAGAGAACTTTCTATAAGCACTTTTTTTCTTTTTTGTTTTTTTGTTTTTTTTTTTTAAGGGAAGGGTCTACAGGGTGTTCTGGGTCTCACTACTAGATCAGACTTGTGGTGATCCACCTGTTTACAGCCTCCCAAGACCTGGGATTACAAGTGTGCACCACCACACCCAGTCTCAATTGCTGTCTCAGTGTACCCTGGGGGCAGGGCCAGCATGGCAGGCCCGGGGATTGAACCCCCAGCCCCTGCGCTTGCTTGCAGGCACTTTAATCCACTGAGCCATTTGGCCGGCCTATAAGAACTTTTCAAGTATTTAAATTTGTATTAGCATCTCAATGAAAAGTAATAGACATTTTTACTTGATTTTCATGAGAGAAGATGAATATATGGGCAGCAACTGACTTTTTCCAGTTTCTGGGTTTCCTGAGCAACTTAGTAATACTCTGTCTTAAAATAAGGAAGGGTTAGGGATGGAGCTCAAGACTTTCATGGTATTTTTTAAATAATCATTAAAATTTTGTAAATGTATGATAAATGGCTCTCCAAAAATTTAAATGCCTTTGTAGGTGAATGTAGGATAGAGTGGATGAGTCCTTCAAGTACTGCTGTGTGGTTTTCTTCCTAGTGGGAGATGAGATGTTCCTAAGAATAGTGGCTCTGTAGCTTCTCCTGTTCATTTGTACCTTTTGCCTTATTTAGATCTACAATTAGACCAATGACATGGTGTATAGAGATATGGTATAAGCAGGTATCAAGTAGGAAAAATCATGGGCTTGAATTATATAAATAGGATAGTAAATGGGTAAAGCTATACATACGTGTACTTGCTTGTTCATGTATCCAAAGATGATAATTTAAGATTCCTAAAGTGTACATCTTTGTAATTTTCGTCTGTTCGAAATTCTGTCCAGGTCCTTTAACATTTCTAGAAAATTATAATGACTATAGTTATAATTGTAAATGTCTAATTACAAGCAACTTAAGTGTTTGTCAATTACTTTAAACTTGAACATTTAGTTATATATGCATAATTTCCACTGTATGAGATTTAGATTGTAAATGTCCACCTTTTTAAAAATTTTTGTTGGAACTGGGGATTGAACTCAGGCCCTTGTGCTTGCCAGGGAAGCGCTTAATCTACTGAACCATGTCCCCAGACCCAGTGACCACATTTTTGGTATTTTCCAAAAGGGAAGCACAGCACTAGGTTAATTTTTTGTTTGTTTGTTTTGCGGAACCGGGATTGAACTCAGGCCCTTGCGCTTGCCAGGGAAGCGCTTATTCCACTGAGCCATCTCCCCGGCTCCCTGCACTAGGTTATTATTATTATTATTATTTTTTCACTAGGTTATTTTTAATGCATGTGTGTGAATGATGTAGTACATCCAACTGCCACTACATTTTTTTTTTTTTTTTTGGTGGTACTAGGGATTGAACTCAGGACCTTGCACTTGCCAGGCAAGTGCTTAAGCTGCTGAGCTATATGTCTGGCCCCGCCATTACATTTAAGCCAAATATTACAATGAATGCCAGAACAATTCAGCACAGAAAATCAGTGACATATTTGGTAGCATCTTTGATGATGAAAGTTAACTATTTGGTAAACTCAAATGAGTAAGAGGAGGGTTTTTCTTCAGTTTACTTCACTAGAAAGGTGAGATATCCATAATACTGGTGCATGGAGTTAGGGAAGGTGAGAAAATAAGTGAAAAAATAGCATTTGTAAATAGTTTTATCTCTTTTAATTATGTGTAATCATATGTTGATAGCCTTATATACTTGGGCCATGTCTCACATTGTACATTTTCAGTGTGTATTTTCTGTCTTTATTTAAAAAAAAAAAAAAAAGTCTTTTATTTATGTTGGTTAGTTGTAGGCCAAAGGGACCAGAAACTTCATTTCTTATTCATTCTGTTTGTGGGTATAGGGCTTGCATTGAGGAAAGGTGGATGGGAGAGTAGTGGCAAAGTGAAATTTATAGCTAACAGTACAATTCCATTCAACATGGCACTCAGCTAAGAAAGAAAGAGGTCACTGTTGTAAGTAATCTAGGTTTGAGTCCAGTTAGCATCTTGACTTTTTATCTATCTTTCCATGTTTCAGTAAGATGGGTGGCTTGCAAATAAGGGCATCTAGGTATATACAACTGCTGCACACTGAGACAGCTGCATGGTCTTGCTGTCTGGCCGGATATGCTTCTTGCCTGGAGGGTAAAGCTGCCTCTGCCAGTCCCTAGGCAGCTGAGGCATGTTGACCTCTCAATTGAGCAGAGGAAGGTTGTAGGCAGTGGGCAAAGGAGGGGTTGTAGGGGACTCTTTTTTTTTAATATATATATATATATATATATATTTATTTATATATTTAATTATTTTGTGTGTGTGTGGCCAGCTCAGCCCACCAGGGGGTGGGGCTGGCTGGCATGTGGTGCTGGGGGATTGAACCGCAGTCCCTGTGCTTTGTTTAGCTTAGCTTGTTCTAAGTAGGTGCTTTAGACCACTGAGCCATCTCACCAGCCCTGTAGGGGACTCTTAAAGTTGGCAATTGAATATTCTTTCTGCCAAATGACAAGCTCATTTTTGATTAATGCTTAGTGTAAGTCTTGCTTGCCTTCAGATTATGTAATTCTTTGTGTTAGATACTCACACATCTTAGAATGCTTTAGGGTGGGTGGTTTTAAAATATAGAAATGTGTTAATATAGGTGGTAAATGAAATTTACCTTTTTTTGGGGGGGCACACTCAGGATGCATTCAGGGCAGGTCTGGTTTGGCTTGAGGATGAGGGGATCGAACCACAGCATCCAGAGCCTGACTGCTTTGTTTCAGCAGGCACTTAAACACCTGAGCTAATGGGCAGGCCCCCTTTATTATTACTTTAAGTGCAGTTCTATGTATCCTGTAATGGTGATCAAGAAAACTATCACAATAACAAGCAAATGCTTAAAAAATCTGAAGAGAATAGAAATATTAAACCATGTTTTGCCAACCCTTCCTCCAAAAACTTAATGATTTTAATATTAAATTTTAGTGCTTGGGTTGGTGCCCTGGGTCAGGATAAAAGTCCAAGTATCAGTGTTTTCTGACCTTTGTTTTAAGCAAGCACATACACCTCTTGTTTGGTTTATTTGCTGTCTTAACTATTGGCCAATGTTATCAGAGAGATAAAACCAGGAAGGGCTAGTAGAAATTGATTTGGGCTTTTAGTGGATGAGTGGGGACCAAAGAAATTATGGGGAGGGATAGAAGTTTGATAATTACTAGCTCAATTTGAAGAGAAAAAAATAAACTTTTGACAACCCCGTTTCATATTCTTAAGTGATAGTCCTTTTTTCTTTGATACATTATATATGGTATTGTTCTTTTGCAAATAATTGATGTAAAACTCATATTACTATGTAATTTAGGCTATAGCGGCAGTATAGTTAAAACTGTAGTTCTGTAATGTTAGTGAAAGGTAAAATTTCTGCCCATGAGCTTGTTAATGGTGTGTTCTACCCTAGCTAGGTCATGAGTAGAAGTATAAATTAGTTTCTCGATGAATGTTATTAATTTTTTATTTTGCCTTTTAAACCTGGTTTTTCCTTAGTTCATGAATGTTTTTGTCTTTGGAAGAATGCTAATGCTTTTGTTTAAAGGATAATGGTTTCATAGAATAATGTTAGACTGAATGTAATAAATACTTGCATTCTATCATAGTCTGCATTGTGAGTTTTGGTTTTGGATATGGTCTCCACGCAGATGGTCATTGGTAGTCATACTGCCTTATACTACCCCATGTTACTTGTGTATTTTTTTGTGTGGTTTATTGTATATTGTTGTTTGTTTCTTTGATGCAGGGCTGGGGATTGAACACAAGATGTTTGCACTGAGGTTTATTATCACCCATTCTTATTTTTTGAGAGGTTCTCATGGAGTTACTAAGTACCCAGTCTGGACTTGAATTTGTAATTCTACTGCCTCAACCTTTCAGAGTGCTGAGGTCACAGCTGTGTGTCACCACACCCATTTTAATCTTTAAAGCCAAATCATTCTTACTAGTCATATGGAAGCCCGGTATGGTTACTTCACACTTCTAATCCCAGCACTCCAAGAGGCTAAGGCAGGAGGAGTGTTAATTTGAGCCACACCATGACAGCTTACTAAGACCCTGCCTTAAAAGACAGGAATGTGGCTCAGTGATATAGTGCTCCTGGGTTCTATCTCCAATGCTACCCCCTCCAAAACTTTTTTTTATATGTACAACAATTTATTTCCAACCATATAAAATTATGCCTGCGTCAACACCCTGAAACATGAACTCAATTATTTAGTTTTGCTATTTTATTGACAAACCATTTAATTTTATTTAT